CATCTTCCATTCCTAAGAATTGGACATATTTGATAATATATTTCACCAACTCTGGATTCTGACCCTGCCTGTGTGTTTTGCCTTGTGACATCCTGGACTAACTCTATAGAATCTGCTTCCCCTGCAGTGTGAGGTTGTTCCATTTTCTTCATTATTATTTCTTACCTTTAAGTTTGGTTTCCTTGGGAAGAGCAATACTTACTGGTCGGCCAATAACTGGTGAGGTGCTGTGCTAAAACATCTTGAGCCAGTGACACTTGCACCTTTTTCTTGATGTATCAGTTCAGTTTGGGAAATGATGCAAAGTTCAGGCAGGTTACAAACTTTTCTTGGTTTTTATTTTCTGCATGAGCTAGGCCCTACATTCCATCAGGAATGAATAGATAGCTAAGACCCTCCTTGGTTTCTGCTGAGCTTGCACACAGCCTTGGATATATGAGCAGCCCTACAGATCATCTGGGACATGGGGAAGTTTATTGTTTATCAATACACACTCTGGTTGTCTTGTTCTCTGGATCTCGTTGTTAAAATTCTGACTGGTCTCTCAGTTTGTTGCTTTCCTTAACCAGTATCTCAAACCCAAGCTAATGATGTTCCTTGATTATTTGCCACCATGATCACTATTTGTTTGTTTGTTTGTTTGCTACAATTCTCTTAGGCGGGCATTCAACCCTGCTCTAATACAAATCAAGTCAGCCCTGTCACACATGCCTTGGTAAAACTATCATGTAGGAGGGAATGGGACCAGCCCTAGGTAAAATTACTATGGATTCCCATTTTTCTTACCAAGGTTTAGTAGTTTTTCTTGAATAAATGCTTCCCAACTTGTTAAATACCTTTGCTCAGTTTCCAGAGTCCTAAAATAGTTAGCTGACAATTTTATACAGTGTTATATTTTGTCTAGTTGCTTTTCAGGAGGAGATATGCTGAGATCTTCACTCAGCCACTGCAGAAATCATGACGCTAATTTTGCAACAAATTACTGACTCTTTAAATTACAAATATTTCTTTCACCTCACTACTTGTATACCAACCTGATTCATCTTTAATAAATCATCCTAAAAATTCAGATGAATTTTTAACAGTGAAAATGGAGGTAAAATAAAACAAAATTCAAAAAGTCACAAATGAAATTAACCAATTTGGAATCTAGAATTTAAGATTCAGATTTTTTGAAAAATAAAGATTACAGAACACAGACCACTTGTGTTTTCAATGAAAAAGATTCTAGACTTGATTCTGCCACTTCCATCCAATTTTTGGTAAGTTCCTCAACTTTTGTGAATCTCAGTTTCCTCGTTTATAAAATGGGATGGTGACACTAATTCAATGTAGTTATATTCTAAGGAACAGATGAAATAATGCAAGTAGTATAAAGTTCTATAAAAACATGAGATTAAAAAAAAACAAAAAAATGAGATTATACCAGCATTTTATTTTTAAATAGGGATGCTATGAGCATTTGCAAAATAATTAAGCCAAGAAATATATATACTGTGCTATGTAGCATTCCTTTAAAAAAATTTTTTTTTAAAGATTTTTATTTATATCAGAGAGAGAGCACATGGGTTTTAAAGATTTTTATTTATATCAGAGAGAGAGCACATGGGAGAGAAAGAACACAAGCAGGGGGAATGGCAGGCAGAGGAAGAAGCAGGCCACCTGCCAAGCAAGGAGACCAATGCGGGACTTGATCCCAGGACCCTGGGATCATGACCTGAGCCAAAGGCAGATCCTTGATGGATAGAGCCACTCAGGCGTCCCTTGTTCTTTTTTTTAAATCAACATTTCTTTTCTTTCTTTTTTAAGTTTTTATTTTAATTCCAGTTAGTTAACATACAGAGTTATATCAAGTTCCAGGTGTACAATATAGTGATTCAACAATTCCATACATCACACGGTGCTTATCTCGATACCATTCTTAGTATGTATGGTAAGTCATGCTGACTTCAGAAGGTATTAGTATGTGATTAAATTAGATTGCAATAGTTAAGAAAAAAAAGCTACTGCAGCTACATAAAAGCCTTTCAGTATTTCTCTGCAGTATCTCACTTGTACTCTTAAATGGATTTTAAAATTTTATTTTATGATAGCTAAAAATCAGACAAAAATCAAGATGAACATTGTCAACATATGAATACCATAAACAAGAATGAATCTTCTGAGCATGAAAATTAAAAACACAACGTGAGACTAGTGTTTTTATGAAAACAACATTTTAAAAAACGGATTTTGCTTAACGTTCTTTAAAAGAAAGGACCATTTTAAAAAAGAATCCTTATAAAAAGTTGGAAAGTATATTTTGTTACTTAAATTCATCTGAACATCAACTGGTATTCTTCACATAATCCTGTTTTCAGGTATTCCAAACAACTCTATTTCAGTAAACTCTTTTTTTTTTTTTAAAGATTTTTTTTAAAGATTTGATTTATTTAATTGACAGAGAGATAGAGATAACAAGTAGGCAGAGGCAGGCAGAGGGAGAGAGAGAAGCAGGCTCTCTGCCAAGCAGGGAGCCCGATGTGGGGCTCGATCCCAGGACTCTGAGATCATGACCTGAGCCGAAGGCAGAGGCTTTGACCACTGAGCCACCCAGGTGCCCCTATTTCAGTAAACTCTTTTACAAAGCAGTCTCACACCAGAAAAAACTACTGAAAAATTTGTATACACACTACTTTTAAGAATAAGTGATAAACTATGTATTGAATTTATTCCTTTTAAAAGCGAAGTTTAGGGGGCACCTGGGTGGCTCAGTGGGTTAAAGCCTCTGCCTTCGGCTCGGGTCGTGATCCCAGGGTCCTGGGATCGAGACCCGCATCGGGCTCTCTGCTCGGCGGGGAGCCTGCTTCTCTGCCTGCTCTCTGCCTACCTGTCATCTCTGTCTGTCAAATAAATAAATAAAATCTTAAAAAATAATTAAATAAATAAATAAATAAATAAAAGCGAAGTTTAGTAGAGATTCGGTTCTGTTTCCGAAACTTTCTACACAAATGTATAGTATAATGGTAACACTCAAGCAATGAAGGATACTTGATGTATTAAAAATTGAATCACAATTGGGGAGGGTATGTGCTATGAAATGTATAAGCCTGATGATTCACAGGTCTGTACCCCTGGGGTAAATAATACACTATATGTTTAAAAAAAAAAAAAAGAACAGGAAAAAAAACTGAATTACAGCCGTAAAAACATGCAGGCCTATTAACCAAGATATTTCACCTCACGTAATTTTGCCTAAATACATACCTAACCAAAGGCATACAGCCTTTATTACTAAATTATACTGAAGAAAAATAGAGATTAAAAATAGGGGATGAATAAGGCCTACTAGCTAGTCATTTAAATTATAAGAGGCTTTATTGATATGTAAAAGTATCATCTGATATGATCTGCAGTGAAAATGGAAGCCAAAAATAAAACAATATTTTGAAGGATTCTCATTAAAAAAAATTATAAATTCCATCAATGGCATATACACGTAGGTATATGAATATAAAAGTGTCAATAGTGCAACCATCAACAAATGAAAAGTCAATCTATGGAATGGGAGGAAATATTTGCAAACCACAGCTCTGATAAAGAATTATATCCAAAAAATATATATAGGAAGTTCCTATCACTTAATAGCAAAAAAATAATAACAATCACCAGTTAAAAATAACCAAGAACCTGAACATTTTTCTAAAAAAAGACATACTAATAGCTAACACCTACATGAAAAGATATTTAACATCACTAATCACCAGGGAAATACAAATCAAACGACGAGGTACCACTTCACACCTGTCAGGATGGTTATTATCAAAAAGACAAGAGATAATATACACTGGCAGAGATATATAGAGAAAAGAACCCTTGTACTCTGCTGATGGGACTGGAATAAACTTGAACAGCTACTATAAAAAGCATGTTTCACGTGAGATTAAAAAAAGAACTACCATATAACCCAGCAATCCCACTTCTGGGTATATAACCAAAGGAAATAAAATTATTTTCTTGAAGATGATAGCTTTACTTCCATATTCTTTGCAGCATCATTCACAAAAGTCAAGGTATGAAAACAACCTAAGTGTCCAACAATGAATGAATGGATAAACAAAATGTGGTATGTATATACAATGGACTATTATCTAGTCTTAAGAAGGAAATCCTGTCATTTGCAGCAACATGGATGAGAATGGAAGGCATTATACTAAGTGAAATAAGCCAAAGACAAGCAAATATTGCAAGGATAGCACTTGTATGTAGAATCTTAAAAAACAAAACAAAACAAAAAAGTCAAATTCAGAAACAAAAAGTAGAAAAGCAGTTGCTGGGAGTTGGCGGAAACAGAGAAAGGGTGATAAAAGTGTAAAAAATTTTACGATATGATGAATCAAGTCTGCAGATGTAACGTATAACATGATCAGAGCTGATAACACTATAATATATAACTGAGAGTACAACTTAAATGTTCTGACACACACAAAAAAGTATGTGAGGCACTAGTGATGGATGTGTTAATTCAATGAAGGAAATCCTTTCACAATGCATACATATATCAAATCGCACTGCACACTTTAAATATCTTAAAATTTCAGATGTCAATGATACCTCAATAAAGCCGAAAAAAATGCCAACAGCAATTACCTTAAATACAGAGATGATGGGTATTTTTTTGCTTCTTTTTGTTTAGCTCTACTTTATAATCTTTACACAATAAACAAGAATTACTCTGTAGTAAGGAAAATTTGCTACCTTTTTTCTCATGTCTTATTTCAAAAAATTAAATTCAGTACTCAGTGCAATTTTAATGTTAAAGAGAATCTGATTTCTAAATTAATTCAATCCCTTGGTTAGGAAATTACTTTAACAAAAATATTTCAGTATGAAATTAATCAGGAGAAATAAAATGTCACTGTAATGACTGTATTTAAGTGGGACATGCTGTTATGTATTAACAATATATTTCAGGTGTCAAAAATTTCAACTATGTAATGAAAAATACACTACAAACTTACCTAATAATTTGTCCTTCTTCTTCTGGAGTAGCTGGTCTTAGCCCCAGAACTATGTGACATACCTAGAGAAAAAAGTGGTAAATCAAACTTCACTGACTGATGGCAATGACTGGACTGTGTAATCTCACATTCTCTGCATGAGTTCCACTTTGTAGATGGGAATCTGAATTAGCCATAGCTTTCAAATGATGAATTATCAATGATTCACTTGGGCAACTCTGAGCTTTAAACTTTAGCTGTTGTTTTTTTTGTTTTGTTTTTAAACAAACTGTTTCAGTAGAGGCCAATTTCCAAATCTCTGTATGAGACAGGAGAGGGAGGGAGGGAGAGAGGGAGAGAGACAAAGAATAACGAAAAGAACCATGCAGAAAATATTATTTTCATTCCTGAAATCGGAAGAGCACATCATGGCACGTGAGGAGAAAGGTGAGGGGGATGAAGAGAATACAGGAGACAAAAGATACGGGTGGCATTTTAGTTTAAACAGTTCAAAGAGAGAAATTATTGCCACTAATGCTAAATATGCTTTTTAAGGCTCATTTCATCCTCAATTTATTTGCCTTAAGTATCATTACAAAAGATATAATTTTTTCCAACATTTTCTCATGAAAAATTTCAAAAATACGGAAAACTTTAAAGAATTTTACACTGAGGACAACATATCCATTAACTAGATTTGACATCAACATTTTATTATACTTGTATCTATCTATCCCTTAATTCACCCATCAATCCATCTTAATTTTGGATTCATTTCAAAGTAAATTATAGACATTAGTACAACTTTTTATAAATACATCAGCTTGGCTAACATTAACCAGAAAGTTCATATCTATTCACAGTTTTGTTTACCTTTTGAGGTAACATTAACATAACAACAAAATCCACAAATTGGGTTTTTGAGACTCATCTATGTAGCAGCTGTTCATTTTTACTGCTGAGTAGTATGTCACTTTTCGAACATAACACTGTTTGTTTCATCCATTCTCATACTGACAAATACTTGACCTTCTGAAACCAATTTTTCTTTTTCTTTTTTAAAGATTTCACTTATTTATTTGACACAGAGAGAGACCAGAAGTAGGTAGAGAGACAGAGAGAGAGGGAGAAGCAGGTTCCCGATGTGGGGCTCGATCCCAGGATCCTGAGATCATGACCTGAGCCAAAGGCAGAGGCTTTAACCCACTGAGCCACCCAGGCGCCCCACCAATTTTTCTTTTCTTTTCTTTTCTTTTTTTTTTTAATTTAAAGATTTTATTTATTTATTTGATAGAGAGATCACAAGCAGGCAGAGAGGCAGGCAGAGAGAGAGGGAAGCAGGCTCCCTGCTGAGCAGAGACCCCCCCCGATGCGGGGCTCGATCCCAGGACTCCGAGATGATGACCTGAGCCAAAGGCAGCGGCTTAACCCACTGAGCCACCCAGGCGCCCCAATTTTTCTTTTCTAAGATTTATTTGAGAGAAAGAGCAGGAGCCTGGGGGTGGGGGAGGTAGCAGGAGAGGTTTCTCAAGCAGACTCCCCACTGAGCCTGATGCAGAGCTTAATCTGACTACCCTGAGACCATGACCTGAGCCAAATCAAGAGTCGGACACTTAACCGACTGAGTCACGAAGGTGCTCAGGTGTTCTAAGCGAACTTATAGAAAATGGAAATACAGTATTCACGCTTACAAGTGAACAAATCTTAAGTGTATAGTTCAATGACTTTTCACAAAGTAACATCTATGAAATCTTTACCCAGTCAAGAAACAGAACACTGCTATCTCACCCAAAATCCCACTTTGAGTTCCTTCCCACCCCACTGAACCCCTTTGATATATCCATGATCCTGAATTCTGTCACCATAGAATAGGTTTTGTCTGCCTTTGAACTTTTTGGTCTAGTATTTTCAACTCAAGATTAGATATAAGATTCATCCAAGTTTTTGTGTGTGGCACCATTATACTTATTTTCATTGTGTTACAATATACCACTCTATGCACATGTCACACTTTGCTTATTGTTTGTGTTTACTATTGATAAATATTTAGGTCATTTTCTGTTTTGGGCTATAACAAGTTATAAGAACTTACTTGTATGTCTTTTGATGCTCAGATATACACATTTCTAGGGTTTACATACAGAGTAGACTTTATGAGTCACGGGGGAAGCGTATGTTCAACTTTGTAAATACTGCCAAGCAACTTCCTAAGTATTTGTTTGTTTTTTTTAAAGATTTTATTTATTTATTTGTCAGAGAGAGTGTGAGAGAACACAAGCAGGGGGAGTGGGAGGCAGACGGAGAAGCAGGCTCCCCCCTAAGCAGGGAGCCCGACACGGGGCTCGATCCCAGGGCCCCAGGATAACGACCTAAGCTGAAGGCATACATTTAACTGACTGAGCCACCCAGGAGCCCCAATTTCCAAAGTATTTGTAGTAATTTGTATTCCTACTGACAATGTATGGGAGTTTCAGGTTTTTGTTATCCTCACCAATACTTCTTATCACTTAAAAACTAACCATTCTTGGGGGTATGTCTACTAGTATTTCGTATGTGGTTTTAATAGTATTTCTATGATGACTAAGGAGTCCCTTTTCATAACATTCATTAACTATTGGATATTTTCTTTTTTTAAAAAAGATTTTTAATTATTTATTTGACAGAGAGAGAGACACAGCGAGAGACGGAACACAAGCAGGGGGAGTGGGAGAGGGAGAAGCAGGTTCCCCACTGAGCAGGGAGCTTGAGGTGGGGCTCGATCCCAGGACCCTGGGATCATGACCTGAGCTGAAGGTAGACGTTTAACGACTGAGCCACCCAGGCGCCCCCTGGATATTCTCTCTGGTGAAGCATCTCTTCAAGTTTTCTTTACACATTTTTTATACTGAAGTTTTACCTTTTTCTCATTTTTATTCTCTGTATGCCCTAGTCACATGTCTTCCTGGATACAGGTATCACAAACAACTTCTCCCACTGCATAGCTTATCTTTTCATTTTCTTAATGGTATCTCCCAATTAAAAAACAAAAACAAAACAAAACAAAACAAAAAACTGCTTAATTTTACTGAAGTCCTACTTAAAAACTTTTCCTTGGTGGTTAATGCTCTCTGTGTCCTTTTAAAAAACTCTTTGCCACCTCATAGCCATTAAACTATTATTGCATATTATCTTCTAAATGCTTTATTTTTACCTTTCAAACTTATCAGACTTATGTTCTCACTTGGAATTAATTTTCATCTATGGCATGAGGTAGGAATAATGATGCATTTTTCCCCATAGAGATACCAACTGACCCAGTACACCATTTACTGCCAAGATTACCCTTCCCATGTTCAATGCAATGTCTTCTTGTTTATAAATCAAGTGATCATATACATGTAAGTCTGTTTAAAAACTCTCAGTGTTGTTTCACTGGTCTTTGTCTACCTTCACACAGATATCACACTGTCTTAATACCGTTGTTTTATAAGAAGTCCTAATATCCGGTAACTTCAGTCCTCTAACACTGTTCTTTACATTATCTTGGCTATTTTTGGCCCTTTCCACTTCTGTATGTACTTAGAAACAGCTTGTCAAGTTCCATAAAAACATTGACAATATTAAACTTTTTGGGATTTTGATTGCTAGTGCACCAAACCTACAAACTAATTTAAAGGGACTTGACATCTTTAAAATGTTGAGCCTTAATATAATATGGATTATCTCGCTCTGTTTTGGTTTTTTATTGCGTCTGTAATAAATTATCACAAATTCAGCATCTTAAAGCAACACAAATTTATTATCTTACAGTACTGTAGGTCAGAAGTCAGACACGGGTCTCACTAGGTTAAAAATCAAGGTGTTGGGGCACCTGGATGCCTCAGTCGGTTAAGTGTCTGCGTTCAGTTCAGGTCATGATCCCAGGATCCTGGGATGGAGCCCCACATCAGGCTCCCTGTTCTCCCTCTGCCTCCCTTCCTCTGTTTCTCATGAATAAATAAATAAAATCTTTAAAAAAAAAAAAAAGATGTCAGCAGAAGTACATTCCTTTCTGGAGGTTAAAAAAAGAATATATTTCCTTGCCTTTTTCAGCTTCCAGAGTTCATCCACATTACGTTGTTCAGAGCCCCTTCCTCTATCTCAAAGCTAGCATCTCTAACTCTTCTTCCAAGGTCATCTCTTTCCCTCTCCTCCTTTCTCTCCCTCCCTCCCTCTGACCACAGCTGGAAAAGGTTCTCTACTTTTAAGGACGGATGATTAGCGGAGCACCTGGGTGGCTCAGTGGATTAAAGCCTCTGCCTTCAGCTTGGGTCATGATCCCAGGGTCCTGAGATGGAGCCCCACGTCGGGCTCTCTGCTCGGCGCTTCCCCTTCTCTCTCTGCCTGCCTCTCTGCCTACTTGTGATCTCTCTCTCTGTGTGAAATAAATAAAAAATCTTTAATTAAAAAAAAAAAAAAAGGACTCATTATTAGAAAGGCCCATCTGCTGGGCTAATCTCCCTATCTCAGAGTCCTTAACCTGATACATCTGCAAAGTCCCTTTTGCCATGGAAGATTATGTGCGTGGGTTCCAGGGATTAGGGCATGGATAATTGGTGCTGGAGGTGGTGTGCATTTTTTCTGCTTACCACGCTTTTAAAAACTTGACATTTTTGACAAATGCAAAAGAAACAAGATCCTGGTTATATTTAGCATCCTGCCTCTGCAAAATATTGGGCACTGAGTGTATAAAGAAGATTGAAAATAAAGATATTATTATAGGGATGGTTTTCTAATTCTATTGACACTTATGTATGTTGCACTTAAATACCCAAAACACTCAGCTAAGAGGAATCTTGGCAAATAAGAGTGTAATTGGCAAATAAGAGACTTACCAAGTAACTCTACCAATTTTAAGACACACAGAAAATACAACTTAGCTAACAGTCTCTTACTCATATACTAAGTGAATATATAGTTTTAAAAACATATTGTATGTGAAATAAAGTGAATATAGTAAAATGTAATGTTAAAATGTCAGTGACAGGTATTCATGGGAAACTATCAGCTCTTTATAATACAATATTAGAAACACACACATACAAAAACAAATCTCAAGCATATGCTTATTTATAAATTAGTCATAGAAAATTAGTGCCACTGCAAGTCCCTAATAAGAAGGAGGAAAAAAAGGAATGAGAAAATAGAAAAGCCAATAGGAAAAAATCAAAATGCTATGCTATGTGAGAGCTACAAGATGACATAGATATAAGCCTAAGTGATCTAAATGTTTATATAATTATGAGATAAAGTAATGAGGATATTATTTTAAATGAGATAAAAATAATTGATCAATTTTGATATTATCAAGCAAGCTTTTTCTGTTTAGAATAATGATTTATATAATTTTTGTACATGTTTATGCTTTATAAAGCCATCAACTTAAATCCTCCTGAAAACTGTAACTGATAGTGGAGTAACTGATTGATATAAATGGATATTACAGGCTTATTAGATTGTGTATGTTTTATATCCATAGTAATTAGTCATTAGCTATCAGGAAGAGACCAATTACCATTTATTCCAAAACAAAACAAACAAATGAGTTATTCTTTATTTAATATGGAAGAGCATGATAGATACAAAAATACTGAACTTTTTTTAACTTCACAGGGCTGTTTTTACAAGGAAAGGAAAATAAAATAAGAATCTAAAATACCACTACTAGGGGCGCCTGGGTGGCTCAGTGGGTTAAAGCCTCTGCCTTCCGCTCGGGTCATGATCCCGGGGTCCTGGGATCGAGCCCCACATCGGGCTCTCTGCTCCGCGGAGGGCTTGCTTCCTCCTCTCTCTCTGCCTGCCTCCCTGCCTGCTTGTGATCTCTCTCTCTGTCAAATGAATAAATAAAATCTTTAAAAAAAAATAAAAATAAAATAAAATACCACTACTAAATCAACTTAAATATTTATGAAGAATTATAAAAAATGGGAAATCATAATTTCTTTTTTTTTTTAAATTGGAGCAAGAGAAATACTCTAACCAGAAAAATAGTTGAAATCTGGCAAGCCTTATAATTTAATGTTCATTCTTGGCACTTTGCACTTTTTCTCTCTTCCTTCTTCAATCTTTCTTATTTCTTCTAAAGAACTTTTTAAAAATTTTAGAAACAGCTTTGTAGCCAGGATAATCTAACTGGAGAGACTGTGTACACTGAAAATTTTACAGCTGCCTACTTATGATCCATCTGTCTGTTCACACTGCCTGACTTGTTAGGAAGGGCCTTTAAAAAAGACAACGGTGAAGAAAAATAGGAAATTATGATGGCTTTTGCAATCTAAATTATTTTCTATGTATTTAACATGCTGGCCTACCATGAGTCATAAGATAAATAAACGTAGCTCTATTCTACTTCCTCGTCTCTCATGTCATGATTTTGAGATGCCTCAGGGCTCTCAAACTCTACCTTACCAATCTTTCAGTTGTATAAAGGATAATGTAGTTCTTTTTATAATATGTGGTTTTGTAGCTGAGTTATAATAACTACTACACAATGAAACAGATGTAGAACTACTACTCTCTGTACCTGTCATTTATCTTAAACATACCTGGAAAAGCAGATTCAAAAATTCATTGGCAAGAACATTTTTCACACTCCAGATCTGATAGTCCTCTAGAGTAAGATGGCCCATCTGAAAGAGAAACAATATTTTAGAAAATCTCATGTTAAGAATGTCTTTTTTTTTTTTTTTCATTTATTTGAGAGAGAGGGAGAGAGTGGGTGCATGAATGGGGAGGAGAACCAGAGGGGGGAGGACAAGCAGACTCCCGTCTGAGCAGGGAGCCCAACAGCAGGACTCAACACTGGGCACAATCCCAGGGCTCTGGGATCATCGCCTGAGCGGAAGGCAGACACCCAAATGACTAAGCCATCCAGGCGCCCAAGCATGCCCTCATTTTTATAGCATTTGAATAAAATCTGGTTTATTAAACTTATATCGGTAATTTTTCTGAAAGCAAAGCAAAAATTTAAAGTGGACACTGTGTGTTCATCTGAAAACTAAACCAGCTAGGATAAGGTTAAAAGCAACAAAACTCTGTTGAAGCAGTCAATGGTAATTAGGACAATTTATTGTCAACAGTCTTCATTCCTCCAATAAGACCTGGGAAATAACTCTCATTATCTTCTGCTTCAAGGGTTATCTATGGCAAGATGTCTATGGAAAGGCTCTGTATAGAAATATTTACAAATTTTGAAAGCAAAAAGCAGACTCTCTGGATTACACACTTTCACTCTAACAATTTTTTTTTTTTAAGATTTTATTTATTTATTTGAGAGAGAAAGCTCAAGCCCGAGAGAGCACCAGCCAGAAGGAGGGGCAGCAACAGAGGGAAAAGCAGAACTCTCTGGTGAGCAGGGAGTCCAACACAGGGCTCAATCCCAGGACCCCAGGATCATGACCAGAGAGGAAGGCAGACGCTCAATTGACTAAGCCTCCCAGGCACACCAATTCCAACAATCTCCTAAGACCATCTTAGAAATATCTGACAATATTATCAGACTAATTAGACATTTAAGAACTTGCTAACAAATTTTTGATGTATCAAAAATAAATAACCATATTAATCTTCCCCCAAAATAAATGAGCAAATTACAAGTTGAGTAAAGAAACATTTTTGTGGTGTCAACATGTACAAAACTTACATATGCATATAGAGGCAATATTTCTTTTTCTTGTTCAACAAAATTATAACCAATTATTTCCCTGCATGTGTTCAATTCTAGATGAATGTTTTTTACTTTTATTATTTAATGATATTAATACGTTCTCTTTTCACTACATAACCATATACGATACAAAAAGATTTTAATGTACTGTGATTGTAATTATTAGTTTTCATAATACAGCTTCTCTTAGTATGTTAATACTAAGTCTAAAGGTACAAAAAAAGTTTACTATTGACATAGTATGTCTCAGGTGGCTATGGTTAATAGGTTTGGCTGAAAGGTCCAAGTTTTATTCTAAACTATTACCATTTCATTATCATCGCTACAAGGAGATGGAGCAGCTAAATTATCTTCTTGTTAATGTTCACAGTAGAGCCAGAAGAAGAATTACATCTTACCTAAAAACAGACAGTAATAATACCTACATATTTACCACTCAGAAAAAGGGTGTTAGAAATTGTACCTGAGGCATTTTGTAACAGAAAACTTTCCAGGTTTCTATGCATATCAAATAGAAGTGGAGACCTTAGTTTTTAGGCAGAGAGAAGTAAATGAGGGCGAAGGCTATATTGCCAAACAAAGTTCAAGTCCTGTTAAGACTCACTTCTATTATTTGTTTCTGCTGAGCATCAGTTAATAAGACTATAATGATTCCTTCTGTAATTGTGACTGAAGAAAGAAAAAAAAAAACAAAACTGATGTCACTTATTTTTCCTAAACCTCTGTAACATCACTATGGACTATATCCAACCAATCTGGTACTTTGTACAAGTCAATGTTTGAATGCAAAGGCTCAAAATAACTCAAATGTGCCTCACATATGTGCATTATTTTCAGTTTCACACAGGGTCACAAAGACATTACAGTAATATAAGCCACAGGAATAAACCTATAATAATATCCTTACTAATAAATGTTGTCCAACTTAAAAAAAATAAAGAATTTACTCTTTGTAAAGCATATGCTTATTCCTGGTATTACACGATTAATTTGGGTGCCATTAAATAACTCAGAAGAGATCTTTACCAATACTGTTGGAAAAAATAATTCAGGAATGTATGCATTACCCAGACTGGGATAAAAAATCATTTCCAGGGCGCCTGGGTGGCTCAGTGGGTTAAGCCGCTGCCTTCAGCTCAGGTCATGATCTCAGGGTCCTGGGATCGAGTCCCGCATCGGGCTCTCTGCTCAGCGGGGAGCCTGCTTCCCTCTCTCTCTCTCTGCCTGCCTCTCTGTCTACTTGTGGTCTCTCTCTGTCAAATAAATAAATAAAATCTAAAAAAAAAAAAAAAATCATTTCCATCAGGGTACCTGGTGGCTCAGCTGGTTAAACATCTGACTTTGGCTCAGGTCATGATCACAAGGTCTGGGAAGGAGCCCCAGGTAGGGCTCCACATTGTTGGGATACCTGCTCAGCAGGAAGATTGCTTGTCCCCTTGCCCCTCCCCCTGCTTGTGCCCTCTCTCTCAAATAAACAAATAAAATCTTAAAAAAATAATTTCCATTATCCCAGATATCCTGTGGTTCTTCCCAATTAATCCACCCATTCCCCAAATCACTATTCTAATACCACTCACCATTTGTTAGTTTTGCTTCTGTTTTTCAGTTTCATATACATGGAATCACACAGTAAGTGTTCTTTTTTGTGTAACTTCTTTTGCTCAATGTAAGGTTAGCCCTACCATAACTTCTTAAAATGTGAAAATTAAATATTATAAACCACGTATGACAAGGGTTGTGTCTATTTAATTTTTATAAAATACCTAGCTTATAAAATATAAATGTATATCTAAACACTTAATGGAGTTGTTTGAAGATGGAACGGGCTGGCTGGGCACCTGGGTGGCTCAGGTCATGATCTTGGGGTCCTGGAATCGAGTCCCACTGGTCCTTCCTCCACCCCTCCTTGTACTCTTTCTCTGGTACTCTCTCTCTCTCTCTCTAATAAATAAATAAAATCTTAAAAAAAAAAAAAAAGAAAGAAAGAAGATGGAATGGACTATCTTTAGAGACAACTTGAAGGTACTCTAACTGTAGGTCCAAATAAGCACTTGGCAGAGATGATGCAGAAGAGACTCAAATATGTATATAAGTTATATACCCTAATTCAGAGTACCTGGTATTTTTAGAAAAGAATATAATTCATTCTAGTCCTGGCTAGACTCACCTTTGTGGTGTCATGTGCATTCAATATGCCTTCTACAATGTCAGATAGATCCGTATGTAACTCCTTTAAAAACAGAAATCCAAAGGAATAATTAGAAAAGAGTTATCATTTTTATTATTCAATGGCTAAAGTACAGCGTATTTTGGTCAAGTATTTAAAGAATTTTTAATTTTAAAAAATTTTAAAATATTAATTTTATATTTTACAGTGTTATACATGTTATATTGGTTTCAGGTATACATTATAGTGGATCAATAATTCCATACATCACCCATTGCTCATCACCACAAGGGCTCTCCTTGACTCCTCATCACCTGTTTAATCTATTCCCCCACATCCCTCCTCTCTAGTAATTACCAGTCAAGTACATTTTTTTACCTTAATAAATAGGTGTTCAGATCTGCTTTGAAAAAAATCAAGAGAATTCTGCAGTTTTATTCTTACTTTACACAATAAGTTCAGTTTATTAAATTTTTTAAGGTACATTCTCTTAAGGTACAATTTTGTACCTTCAGCTATGAATATTTTAAGTAGTAGTGCAACATAACAACTCAAAAGTAGTAACAAATCCTTTTCTCTTTCTCTCTCTTTTTAAATTCTCCACTCTATTTTCCTATTGGAAGTTTACATGCAACAGTATGCTTAAAATCAGAACTTACCGGGATATCATCCGTGCGGTTGTCCTTCCACACCTCTAAAAGTGCGACCACCATGTCTCTCAGTTCAACCCTGGAGAGAACTCCATCACGGTCAACATCAAACACCTTGAAGCAAACTAAAGAAAAGAAACTCTTATGGAGGGAAGTTAATTTCCTGTTCTGAAGTACAGTGCCTTTCACTGAAGCTGCCCTAGTAAAATCACTTAGTTTCTCAAGCAAGTATATTCTGGATTAAGTTCTCATCTGGAGTAGGCTATGGTATGTCATTAAAGTCTTCTGCACTCATATGACTTCCTGCATACTTCATGTATCCCTCTCTGAATCACTACCTGGTTACAGAGTCTTATCCATCACCCAAATCTAGAGCTAAATTCCTTGCAAACTAATAAAAAAGGGTTAAGTTACTATCAAGAAATATTACAATACCTCACACGTTTTGAGGAGGTAATCCAAGCCTTTAAATTAATTTCTAATATTTAAAACTGATCATTACAGAGTTAATTTTTATAATGTTGAAAATATTCCATTTATATTAAGAATAGTAAGGTGGGGCACCTAGCACCTGAGTGGCTCAGTCAGTTAAGTGTCCGACTCTTGGTTTTGGTTCAGGTCATGATTTTAGGGTTGTGATACTGAGCACCATGTTGGGCTCCACACTCAGTGGGGAGTCTGCTTGAGATTCTCTCTCTCCCCCACTCACTCACTCTCTCTCGAATTTAAAAAAGGAGGGGCACCTGGGTGGCTCAGTGGATTAAGCCTCTGCCTTCGGCTCAGGTCATGATCTCAGGGTCCTGGGATCGAGCCCCGCATGGGGCTCTCTGCTCAGCAGGGAGCCTGCTTCCCCCCTCTCTCTCTGTCTGCCTCTCTGACTACTTGTGATCTCCCCCTCTCTCTGTCAAATAAATAAATAAAATATTTTAAATTAAAAAAAATTAAAAAGGAAAAAAAAATAAAAAAGGAAAAAAAAAAAAAGAATCAGTAATAAGGTGTTATAAAGATGGCCTGCTTCCACTCTGCCCCACTAATGTAATTAAAGCACTCTCTATTTTTCTGCCAAAGAACAATTTCAACTCTTCAGTGAAGTTTATATACAACATGCTAAGAATTAGAAATATCAGCACCAGGGCGCCTGGGTGGCTCAGTCAGTTTGGGTGTCTGACTTTGGCTCAGGTTGTGATCTCAGGGTCCTGGGATTGAGCCCTGCTCAGCAAGTAGTCTGCTTCTCTACTCAGCAAGAAGTTGGCTTCTCCCCGTTTCTCTACCCCTTCCCCAAATCTTGTACATACTCTCTTTCACAAAAAAATAAAATAAAATCTCTAAAAAAAGAAAAGAAACATCAGCGCTTTCCTAATTAACTCCAAACAAATCATGACAGTTTTCTAACTTCTGTTAGTCCATCAGCAAAAAAGCAATTAAAAACTAATATAAGGTGATAATTAACATCACATGAGAAGCAAAGATTTCAGCATCCTTATTTAATATTAGAACTTTAATGGGAACAAATAATCTAGTATAAAGCCAGACTGCAGTAATGGTATATCATCAGGGAAGAATCGTGAATTTTAAGATTAAACAGTTATCTATTTCAATATACCTCCATAATAATTACGCTATTAAATCAACTGAGTGCAGCATAGTAAATATTACTAAAGAAGATAAAAATATCAAATAGCACACCCAAAATAGGTGACACTTGTGAAGCTGTATTTTAGAAAGACACAGAAATGGTGACCCTATTAAATACAACAGAATTAGGTTCCAATTAAATGTAAACGGCTGCATTTTCTCAAATATGGTTAAGATTTAATGACATAATGTACTTATGCTTGTAAATTATGCTACAATAACATTTTAGCTAGGTTAAAAAGACCATTTTAGTCTTTAATAAAATTGTGTTCTGATCACAGATTTCATCTTACTAATAAAATATTAATGTATACAAGTGACAGAAAATGAGTTGTACTTTAAATTATGCAAGACACAAAATTCTCTATGGACTACCAGAAAGTATTTTCTAAATGCTTAACATTCTCAAATATATTGTGACTGATGTAGTTCACTTACCATGAACTGCAAATTCATCAGGAAAATCAATTCCATTAGTAATCACAAAGATCCCAAACTATTCCACAGTAAAAAAGAAGAGAAGATTGAATCCTTAGACTCACCTCAGTAAAACCTCAACATGAGACTGGTATTTGCCAATCTGACAATATGATGAAAATTCAAGCCTTAATACACAGATGATGCTACATGGATGAATGCTAATTTTTTGTCTGTATATACAGTTTGCAATTTTTTAATCGCTTAAATTAAATGTTTAACACACTTACATTTTTGTCTTTCAGCCAGAGGTCCCCTGCAACAGGCTGATAATCCACAAGATATCTCCTTAAAATCTATGTGATTGTCACGATTTTCATCAAAAGCATTAAACAAACCTGTGAAATAGGAAAGGACAACATAAATCCCAGCCAACAAGCCTCCTGTTAATAGTATCATTTTTATGAAAGGAGGAATGACCCCCACAAACTGGCCAAATTTAAAAAAAAAAAAGTTTATCAGTAGTTCCCACGGTCTCAGGAAGTATTTTTCTCCAGGTATGACTAAAACTTAAGATCCTCGCAGAAAATACATTACAGTCGTTTAGCATTCAGTTATATTTGCCTGTTTGTCTCTATCTTCTATCAGTTGTAACAGCTAAAAATGACAAAAGTATGTAAAAAATTAAAATCAATGTAAAAAATTAAAAACCAAAAAAATCGGAAATTATAATTATCCTTACTTAGAAAGATTGAGAAGAAAAAGGAAGAATGAAGGAGAAAAGCTAACGTACACACGAAGACATAACATGTTATGTAAACTCCTATAAAGCTCCCATTAAGCAAAGAAAAATAACACACCATATTACAAACAAAAGATATTCTGTACTGTAGTCTTCTTTGTCATAGTTTATATTTTATAAACAAATACGTAAAATCAGAAAGGGAATTTATAATCCTGTGGTTTTTAACCTTTTTGTAAAATACAAATGGAAAAATTCTGTCTTGAAATAAAATGATTTCTCAATATCCAATTCTAAAAAGGTATAATCCAAATTGCACTGCTGAAGTAGGCGGAAAAGCTCAGGGCCCTATCTGCTGTGGCTCCCTCAGTAAGTACTTCTGAAGTATGCTAGGAACCTGGTGAACACAGACTGTACCTTTTAAGAATGTAATTCCTTAAAGAGTAGAAAACTAAAGCTCAGGAGGGGCAAAGTGATTGGCCAAAAGTAAGAAAAATTAAACAAGGTCAGAATCAAAAACAGAATCCAAATATTCAGATTCCAAATATGATTTTTATGATATCACCCACAATTACTCTCTGTATTCCTAATAAAAAAAAAAAAGTTACAGTAATGAAAAGTTTAGAGCTAGCAAGGACCTCAGAGATGGTCCAGTAAAATAGTTTCTTAATCTTTTTTTGGTGCGGGGGTGGGGATGGAGTGGGGTGGATACAGCAGTGGAAACTTCTTAAAAAGGGGAGGCGCTTGAGGTGAGGAAGGGGTGGGGTTACGTGTGGAAACCTGGAGCTCTACCCAGGTGGTGGCCACCACCCTAACACCTGCACCATTGGCTGAGATACTTCACTGCAATACAGTGACTAACTCAGTCAAATTCATTTTATATTTGAGAATATTCTGGAGCTTACCTGATTTATGCAAGGTTACATAGGTAGAATAGGAAGCTCAAGACTACAATCTTAATTTCACTTGTAACATTATGGTCTTTTAGAGTTAAGATATATTGATTAGAAAGAAGGGATGGCTTCAGGTATGTTTACCAAAGAACATTTATAGAAAAGAGAATGATTCCTACCTTCACTTAGAGATGGACGAATGGGTGGTGAAACCAATGGGCCAAACGTCTCTAAATCAAACCGTCCAGTCCGGGATTGAGCTTTTAGCAACCAGTAGCGTTTCTCCAGATCAATGATGTCTGATTCCTCCACTGAGAGTCAAAACAAGTAAGATTATAAAACCTCAGACCTCTATTCTAGGCAGTTAGTTTATCCTGATCATGTAACTTCCAAGGATGTAATTTAATTTCCCAATTGTTAAAAATAATAATTGCCTAAACAAAACTCTGAAAGACAAATACATTATATCTAAAATGGCATGAAAATTGGGGTGCCTAGGTGGCTCACATGGTTAAGTGTCTGACTCTTCATTTCAGTTCATGTCATGATCTCAGGGTCATGAGATCTAACCCGGAGTTGGGCTTCCCACTAGGCGCGCAGCCTGCTTAAGATTCTCTCTTCCTCTCCATAGGCCCCTCCCTCACCCCTGCTTTCACTCTAAATTAAAAAATTAAAAAAAAAAAAAACAGCATGAAAATTAAATTTGAATTAATATAAAAGTGGCCTCAAAATCAGAAAAAAATATTTACAATTTCCCATTAAGTAGGTTGCTTAAATCCAACAAGTAAAATAATAAAAAACAGAGACATTTCTTTTTGGCTTCCTATACCACTTTTACCCATACTCATTTTTCATAATTTTCAATCTTTACCTTGGATTTAAAGATTCTTTTTTTTTTTTTTAATTCATGTTAGTTAACATATAGTGTATTAGTGTCTGAGGGAGAGACTTCAGTGACTCATCAGTTGCATGTAACACCCAGTGCTCATTACATCAACTGCCTTCCTTCATGCCCATCACCTAATGACCCCATTCTCCTCACCTACCTCCCCTCTGGCAACCTTCAGTTTGTTCCCTAGAGTTTAAAGTCTCTTATGATTTGTGCCTCTCTCTGTTTTTATCTTATTTCATTCCTGGCCACACTGTAATCATCCTAATAGCAGGACCCATGTCTGACTCATCCTGTCGATATGGATAACTATCTACACAGTCAATATTTATTAATGAAAAAGAGTATGAAAAGGACTTTATAAATAATAAAAGTCAATAAACAACAGATGAGGTAGAATAGGATTTACAATGTGGTAAGTAATGGGGAATCATGAAAATGTGAGTATCTTTCTCTCCTCATTCAACAGAAGATACAATAAAAAATTACAGGTAAGCTCCAGCCATTGTTACATTTTATGTATGCTTTCCCCCACCAAGGAACTAAAGTAAAATTTGGAAAGCAAGCAGGTGAGAGGCCTTCCATTGCCATGGTTTTTTGCCTACAGTCACTTTCCAGATGTTGGTAAGGTATGAGGAACCTAAGCAGTGAAATTTCACTAAGGTAAACAGAGAAACTATAGTTTTGGGAGGTTAAGATAGTTGAAATTTACAGGGCAGAGTACTGGAGAAGAAAGAGTTAATACAAAGAAAGAGCTCCAACAATCTGCACAGGACTCTTGCTGAGTTTTGGGAGAATAGCAGAATAGTAAGCTGTGTATGCACACAGTGAAATTCATTGAGGCTGGACTTGGATATGCCTAAGTTTTGACCAGCCAAGGTAGAGACACCTTCCTGAACAATGGGAGTATTCACAGACTAAAAGGGTCACACTTAACTAGAAGGGGAAAAACTAACTCCAGAATAAGGGCTACTCCAGACCCGCCCTAACAAAGCTCTTAAAAAATCCTTCAAAATGTCAAGCTGATCCAAAAGTACTTTAAATGCCTGTGAGAAGAAAACAAACTCCTTTTAAAGGGAGAATCCACTTAACCTTAACATTCACAATGTCTAGCATCCGCAAAAATATGAAACAAGCAGGAAAAAGTGATTCAAAACCAAGATAAAAATCAGTCAATACAAAAAGCTAAAGAAATAACAGACGATGGAATTAGCAAACAAGCCCTTAAAACATGTATTCTATAAAAAAGTACCAACTGAAACTACTAGAGATATAGAATACAATATTTGTTTTAAGATTTTATTTATTTATTTATTTATTTGTCAGAGAGAGAGAGAGAGAAAGCGCGCGCACAAGAAAGCAGAGAGGCAGGCAGAGGCAGAGAGAGAAACAGGTTCCCTGCCAAGCAAGGAGACCGAGGAGGGACTCAATCCCAGGAACCTGGGATCATGACCTGAGCCGAAGGCAGCGGCTTAAACCACTGAGCCACCCAGGCATCCCAATACAATATCTGAAATATTGTATTGTAAATATCCAGTGAAATTCACTGGAAAATTTAATAGATTAAAACCTACAGAGGAAAGATATGTGAATCTGAACACCAAGCAACAGAAATGCTACCCAAATGGAAGCATAAGGAGAGAAAACAGGTGAAAAGTTACTAGAATCTTAGTGAACTATAAGATAAGATCTAACAGCACAACACACATGGGATACCATGAAGGGACAGCAGAAAATATCTGAAATAATAACAGCTGAAAGATCCTCAAATTTAATGAAAACTGTAATTCCACAAATCCCAAAGTTCAATAAACTTTGCGCAAGAAAAATTCAAAGAAAACCAAACCAAGGCAAGTCACAATCAAATTGCTAATAGAAAATTTTAAAGCAGCAACAGATGGGAGCAAAACACATTACAAACAAGGGAACTAAGATAAGCAATGATTTCCCTTCAGAAACAAGGGAGCTAGAAGACAATGGAGGAAAAAAGTGCTGGGGGAAAAAAAAAAGTACTGTTAATCTCATATTCTATATCCTATGAAAATATCCTTCCCAAAAAAAGCAAAATGAAGAATTTTGGGGACAAACCAAAGCTGAGAGAATTCATCAACAGCAGAACTGCACCAAAAGGACTATTAAAGGGTGTTTTTCAGACTGAATGATGAAAACAGAAATGCCCAATCCCTAATTTCAATGGGGCTGATATCACAGAACATCCCAGATTTTGGATAGGAGCTTGACTGCAGCTTTGGTTAGACTGTTAGCTCCTAGTTCAAATGCTTTGAAAACTGAGTTCAGATTTCTATTCAGGAAAACCCAGGAACTGCTAGTTGTTGAAATTAGGGGGTCCATAAACTCCAGCCTAAAGGCCGCATGCATGTTTATATAAATAATGTTTTATTAAAACACAACCACGCCATTTATTTACATATAGTTTATGGCTGCTAATGTGTTACAAAGGCAGAACTGAGTAATTGTGATAAACAGACATATGGTCCACAAGTCTGAAATATTTACTACCTGTCTTAAAAAAAAACCATTTTGCCAATCTCTGTGTTAGACCTTAAAATTTCATGAACTTCAAAACTAGGAGACTTTACAAAATGAAAGTACCTGGGGACCACCACAGCCTTGAGACTGCGACCCTTCAACAGTATGAGATTTCAAAATTGTTAGGCCATGAAACTACAAATCAAGAGATCCCTTTTCACTTTTCAACTTGCCCCCAGTCTCAGCGAGACTTCCACAGGAGAGAACTGGGTGGAAACAATTATCTTTGTATTTAGGGTCCTTTCACACTCAAATCTGAAACAGGTTTCTCAAAGTTTGGCTGGTTTCCCCTTGTTCCCGTAAAGCTTGTCCTCAGGCAGGCTCATTCCTCTGCCAGCCTCACTTCCAATCTCAGGCTCTTGGCCTGAGATATGAAAGCACCCTACATCCCTTGATCACTTAGGAAGGGCTCTGTCCCTCTGGAGTTCAGTCTTTCTTCCTTTCTTCATCCCTCCTTCCCTTCTTTCCTTCTTCCCTCCTTTCCACCCTTTCTTCTTTCCCTTCTAAGATTTCTTTGCATGATATGGATTTAAAGAAGAGTATGATTTCGTTTATGTGGTGATTTCATGTTATTATAGTGGGAGTGAAGGTCTTTCATATCTTTCCACTTCCTAACCTAATGCAGAACCCTTCAATTATTACTTAACATGAACTTGAAAATTCTCACCAATGCAGTAAGACATAAACATGAAGTATAAAATTAGAAAAGAAGAAGCAAGGTTATTCTTTGCATATGAGCAGAATGCACATTTTTTAAACAAATTAAAATTAATCTGTAGAGATACAAAATACATAAACAAAAATCAGTGCTTTTCGAGATAACATTAATAACATGTAAGAAAACATTAAAGAGAAAAATACACAAGAATAGCAATTTCCTATAAGAAATGAATATCTAAAAGTAAACTTGAAGATATGAGATTTTTATGAAGAAAATTTTATATAATAATATTAAAGGTCTGAATAAATGAAGCATACCATGGCCCCAAGTAGGGCCTTGACAGAGGCACACATGGGCTTGAATAGGGTGGTTATGTAAGACCACACTGTGAGGGTGACAGGAGTACAGATCTGAAGGAGGCCCAGGGGGCAAATGGTGGAGAAAAAAACGTTCTACAGAGAGAACAAGGAGAGAGGCCTCTAGACAAAAGCATGCTTAGCAAGCTCAAGGAAAAGAAGATCAAAGTGACTGAAGTGGAGTTAGAGAGGGAGACAGTAGTAGAAGATACAGTCTAAGGAAAAATGGGGGTCAGGTTATGTAGGTCACTGTGAGGACTTTGGTTTTAAACTGTGAACCACTGGAGGGCCTGACACAGAGCAGTGACATGAGTGACTTAGAGGATTACTACTCTTCACTACCAAGTGAGAATAGCCTGGTGGGTGGGTGTCAAGAACAGAAGTGAGATGACCAGTTAGACGTTTAATAAAAGATTTAAAATCATCATTACATGCAATTAAGAAACACTAGACAATCAATTAACAAGCACAGATGGACAACTCATAATAATGGGGAGGGATTTAATTTCACTAATAATAAAAAAAATCAGGAGAGCCTCAGTGGCTCAGATAGTTAAGTGTCTGTCTTCGGCTCATGATCTCAGGGTCCTGGGATCGAGCCATGTTGGGTTCCCCGCTCAGTGGGGAGTGTGTTTCTCCCTCTGCCTCTGCTTCCCCTACTCATCCTCTCTCTGTCTCTCCCTTTCAAATGAATAAATAAAAATTTTAAAAAATAATTAAAAAATAAAATAAATCAGTTCAGAAGAAAAATTTAAACACAATCATGCTACTTCTCCGCTTCAAAACTTTTCAACATTCTTCCCGAGGATACTTGCATGGCTACTCGAACAGCTCCTTCAGCTCTTTATTCAAATG